AACATTGAACATTTCAGGGCTGTATTAAGAGGGACTGATTGATGTTCACAATCCCGTAGCCAGAAGAAACTTCTTGGACGGGCATCTGATTTCCCCTGGGCGGGGATTTTTTTTTTTTAAAGCATTCATTAATCATTAAAAATTATAATGGGAAATAATGGAAATATTGTTGGATGGAATTCATGGAGGAATAGATTAAGTTAATTTAATTTTGTGAGAGGCTGTTGCATTTTCCAATGCAATGTGATTTTCTTAATTTAATTTGTGAGTTTGCCAATAAAACCACAGTGTTACAATTGGACTGAAATAGACTATTGTGTAAAAGACTTTCATAATGCCCTTGCAAGATGGTAAATGACACCATATGATGTTTGGTCAGCTAAACAATATGACATCGACATAGTCATGGTCATCACTCATGTTAAAACATTTTCTAAGCTCTGCGGTTGGTTGAAAGCTGCATTTGAACAATGTTTGTTTTGTGTTAGAAAGACTGTCTGAATTTGGTCCAAGGCTTCCCGCCACAACAGATCAATAGGCCTACAGACAACACAGGACAATATTCCAAATATTACAGGAAACCATCAGGAAGCTAGCAATAATTAAAACAAAAGATATCACAGGATGTAAAAACAATACACACAACATTCTCAGTGTCTGTGCACTGGTGGCTTCAGGTGTCTACATCACACTTAAGTGTAAGTTGCATACTGGACCAGGATTGATTTCCAAACTATTTATGATGTCACAAATCATACTCAAAGCCACTTCAAATCTGATTTTCAGTGAGCACTGAGAAACTTTCCACTTGGAGCAGATGAATGTGAAAACATCCCTCTAGTGTCAAACTCTGCACATACATCATTCTGCACAGTGAAGCTCAAACATCCAACTGTAGTAACAAAAATGAAAAACCTGTTCTTGAAAGGAAGGGGGGCCTTTAAGGGTTAAGTAAATAAAAAATAAAGGCACAAAATGCAAGTAAATGGTCAGGAAAACTAAAATAAAGTAAGAACTTAGAACCATAAACAAGAGGTTAGCAAATAATTAAAAAAGGCCATTGCATAACATTTTTGTCCATGGTAAATTCTAAGGTCTTGGAAATGACAAATGCCTGATTGCTCCTTATTTGTTTGTGTTTCTCTAAACTTGAATGCAGCTATTGATTAATATTAATTGGTTCACCTACTATTTAGATTGTTTTAGCCTGTGACTTTATTATTCAAGTTCAACTGAGTGACTGGTCCTGGACTAAACTCTCCCTTTTTTACTTTCCTAAATTGCACTAAGATTCATCTGGATTCCAAGGATAGACTGCTTGAACATAATTCTTACATATTTACAATCTGGATCACTGGAAGTACGGTACAGCTAGAAGGTAGAGCCTCAAAGGATTCTGACAAAGTTTATATTCTGTTTTTTCATGTTTTTCATTAATGTTACAGCGGGTTTTTTTCTGGCGCCCATGGGTCACTGTCTAAATGAGTTGGGGAACAATCATTATCTGACTGTACTCAATTGGAATTTCTGAAAAATGTAGGCTGTTTTTTCCCCTACTATTCTTTATTAAACCCCATCTTTTGATTTAATTTGCTGTGAGTACACATTCTGTAAACAGAGGTGGTACTTAATTCAAGCATGACTATTGCCTTTGGAAACAATATCTCTTCAAAAGCATCATTAAGTATCAAGTAAACAAAGAGCAACAGAGGTCCTGTTGTTGCTTTTTCATCTGTCTGTGTCACATTAGTTACAGGTATCATTCACTACTTCCTCTACAGTCAAATCTTCTTCTAGTCTCAGCTACAGAAGTCCTGAGCTTGCTGCTTAGGATCATATTTCTGCAAAAGGAATGTGTTATCTGATTTTTCAGAGCTGTTGCACTTCCAGCTTGTGGATGTTTCACTTGAAACCCTCATCTACTTTTTAAAACACAATTTAAACGCCACAGATATTTGACAAATCTATTTGAACTCCAACAGAGGCCAGACCCCAGTGCTAGGCACCAGCGAACACGCAGAGTCAACAGAAGCAGTGCCACAATGTTGATTCATGTTGAGAGAGAATAAGATAATATTTTATTATGGTTCAGAGCCAAAAGAATGAGTCAGCCAGTATCTTTTTGTTCAACTTTGAAGCTTTTGAAGGAGGGGGTAACATCGTCCAAAATAGCAATATCCGAGTCAGTGTTTTCATGCCTTGTGTGCTTCATTCTGTTTGGAGTTTTAGAAATGTTATGTAAAAGTGAAGGAGGGGGATAACATATGTAGGCCACGGCTCATGCATTATATCCAAGCTGAAAGCAAATGGCTGATTTTGTTGCAGTGAATGTGAGAGAGAAAAGCACAAATACAGCGGAAAACAGTGTATATGTGCTTAATTGCATCATTTCAATTGAAAAACTGTGTGTGTGTGTGTGTGTGTGTGTGTGTGTGTGTGTGTGTGTGTGTGTGTGTGTGTGTGTGTGTGTGTGTGTGTGTGTGTGTGTGTGCTTTCCAAGGAGACTTTGACCTTGCTGTACAGTTAGTGCAGGCGGCAACATGCCAGTGATTCCAACCAGGGCTTTAATTGACGATCTAGAATCAATTGCTTTTAAGATTGGCGCCACATTGGGGAAATGTAAAGAACACATAAAGAGAAAAAGGAGAGTGAAGAGGAGGAGAACAGATGATTTTTTGATTTAAAAAACTGTCCACTATTCCCTTTGTTTCTAATATAAGTTGCAGAATAGAGCAATTACATTCAAATTTAGAGGTTTACAAGGACTGATAGGGACACATACAGCAATTAACCATTTTATTACACCCAGTGTGCTTTACAGTCTGGTTTACAAGAGCTCCAGTCTAGTGCACATTTACTACAGCAAGGCTAAGCAGGGATAACTTGGAACCTCTATAAGGGAACTTGTTGGAAATGATAGACCAGCTGACAGACTATCTCTGTTAGCTTCAAAATAAAAGAGCAACAATTCTGGCTGAGTTATTCATGGCTATTTGTTCCCTAAGGACCAAAAAGATAGTGTGGGCACAGGCTTTAGGTTTCATATGCATGGCAGGGTACGTTGAGGTGAATGCGCAGAGGCCTCCAGAGCCTCACTGCCAGGCACAGCCAGCTCCAGCTTGACAGGAGCAGCCAGAGTGTGGAGCTATCAGTGGCGCTGTCCGTGGTGCTGAGGTTCAGGCACTGGCGCTGTCCACGGTACCGCAACACCATTGTGTCAGTCACGGGGGTGATCATCGGTCCCTGGCACTGTCCGTGGTACCAACTCTCTGTCGTGCTGTCCACAAGGACTGTCGCTGTCCATGGTACTGAAAATACATCGCTCACTGCACTGTCCATTGGGCTGTTATTCACTGGCGCTGTCCACGGTACCAACTCTTTACTGTGCTGTCCATGGAGCTGTCTGTAATGCTGTGGGACAGAGGAGTGGTGCTATTAATGTTACTGAAGCAGTGGGGGAAGAAGAATTTAGATCCTCTACAGAAGAACGATTAACAGCAGTACAATGTGAAATACTCATATATATTTTATTATATGAATAATATTTGAAATAAATCTTACTTAAACCACTGTGATTTATTTGGCAGCTTGGGGGCAGCGGAAACAGGCTGTGAACATTTCCACTGACATATTATCACCTTTTAGGTTGAACTTCTTAGCAAATATTAACACATTCAGCAGTTATGAAGCAACATTGTCAGTCATTTGGAGTTGTGTTTCTGGCCACCTGGTGAGTGTGAGTCTAAAATTCACTCCCTTTTGACTCTCTGTTTTTGGTCTTTGCCAACTCTTGATGGGGATATCTGGCTCTCTATCTGCTAAATGCTCCATTATGTTCGCCAGATAATAACTGTGTCTGTCTGCAGTTTGGTCGTGAGCAGTCTTTTTCACTGAAAACAACTGACTGCTGCCTTGAGGGTGAACCAAAACAGTAAAGTTTTGAGCTGGACAACTAAACAATTAGCTGAAAGTCACCAAATCTCTGACAAAAAGAGGGAAGCAGCTGATTTTGGTGATCATTTTCTGTAGTTTCATCACTAGGAGCGACCTCTTTAACATTGTTTCCACATTGTCATTTGATACATTGTTATTATAATAAATGTCGATTACAGCCACAGTAAGTATGGAAATAGTGTGTCCAATAAGAAATGAATAAAAAATTTATCCTAATGCAGAAATATTTCCCCTGTGAACTATAATTCCCACGACTTTATACTACTATGTCAGTTTAATCCATGATGTATGACAGTATGTGTTTTTTTGTAAGAATCTTAATATTAAAAAGTTACTAAACCTATTAGATAATTGTAGAGAAGACATACAAATATAAGTGACATGTAATGGAAGAAAGTAACAGTACCTCAGAACTCAGTTTAACTATATTCCACCGTTGTCCTGACATACTTTTAATATGGCATCTTTCTGAATTTTTAAAATAATCTTCCAGCATTCGAAAGAGCAATATTAGTAATAAAATATTCATAATTTAGTAACAAATGCGTGACCAACAGCTCAAGCTGGTGATGAAGTCCATTTAGAATTGAATTCAGCGCTCTTCATTATGATTTGAACTATTCAGTGGCATATATTCAGTATGCCTAACAACTCCTGTCCCTCAAAAATGAGCGCTGCGTGAAAACGCACATTACTCCGCTGAGGGGGGCAAACGTCTCTAAAAATAAACAAAAAAAATCACTATCCACACTAATTACCACACATGTGTATGTGTGAATTATATGTGTCTCTTATTAAAGGCATATATGGCTAGTGGGAAAACATCACTCAATCTTTATTGATTCGAAAATCAAACAAACATACACCATACACAACATATGCAATCAATAAAAACATTATACCCCGTGTGTCACACTGATTTTACGATTTATTTGGTGTGCAGCACCCAGCTGCTGTGGAGCCACTGTACACCGCGACCTCAAGTGGCATATTGCTGACGTCATATCGATTATCTGAATGTTTCACTTTGGACAAAATCACTTGGAGTCGCACAGTGCGCACTTTTCCTCTCGCTCTTTTCTCTCACAGTCTCTCTACCCATCCATTCTCCATCCTGCGTTTCCTCCTGCAAGCATGCTGTGAATCTTCATCTATACTTCGTGCCCAAACCGAGAGCTTAAAGGACTTTTTTTTGTCTTTTACGACCAACCCTCCTTCATCCATCCATCCATCCAGGCTTTCACTCCACGGATTATATAGGAGCCCGTTTATTTTTTCAAGCCGGTCTTTGGGCTATGCCGTCGGGGCTGGTGAGGCTGGAGAGAATCGAGGAAAACCTGCTACCACAGGTGAAAGGAGGCTTTACGACGCTGCGGTATAGATGATTGAACACTATTGAGCATTAACTCAACGCAGTCTTCAGGCACAGGCGCGCCGAGCTTCTTTTAATGATTTATTAGACGGAAATTGAGGTTTACACACTTTGGCACAACTAAAAGGGACGTTTACCAACTTGTGTTTCTGGACGAATATGAAAAATACTGCGTTATTTCCCAACTGGGATTGCTAAGGAAGATGTGACCTTTTCTTTTGCGCACCGGCAATCCGACTAACCCAAGGAGCAGATCCCTGCCTTTCCATCAGTTGCTCGATCCTGACATGTCTTTTTGTGGGATTACACGCGGAGATATGAGCATTGTAAGAGGCCGAGCTGGATTGTGAGATTACCACCTTTGCTTTTTATTCGTCTCGTCAAAAAAGGAAGTGCTCTGTTTGTTCAATGGCTTCGGTGTCAAGGTTGTCAAGGCGCAAAGATGCCAGCCGCTGGCCGAGGATGTCGTCAACTTTCTGGGCTGTGGTGCTTCTGACAGCGCTGCTGGTTCTGTACTGCGGTAAGTCCCGCGCTCGTTTCTGACCGCACATATCGGCATTTGGATGCGTTGGACGCAAAACGCTGGTGCGCAGCGGGTGACCGTGTCATGTGGGAACCCTTTGACTACAAAATTATGCAACTGGTTTTGGCAATCGCTCTTAGCCTATTGATCTCACTAGTTGTCGACGTGTCAATTTTTTTCTTCCCTTTTGCTTAACAGTTATTGGAAGACACGCATTTGGACTCACAGCTGCGCTCACACACACTGAAACCCACGTACTCTCTTTATCTTTTTCTCCCTGCATCTCACTCATGCGAACACAGACAGGCATGAGCATACACTTGTGCAGAAAGAGGGCTTAGAGAAGAGGGAGATGTGTCTTTCTGTCAGGTGAAAACACTTTCTTTGGAAAGGAGATTGAACTCAAGCGTCCCAGGGGCCTAATTAAGCCTCTCCTGACTGCCTTTAATTCTGTGTGTGTGTGTCCTGAGGGCTGTGTTGCTGTCAGACTGACTTACTGAGGTCAGACAGTCATGCATCTGTCACATTGTCTCTGGACTAAAGGCTGGTTTCGGGAGCATAAATAAAGAATTCACACGATACACACCGTATGAAAACAGATTTTTTAGTTGGACAAACAATAGGTCTTATTCCAGGCCATAATTCAACTATTGCCTGAGGATAACCTTATTAGGCAAATGTATGCAAGCACATACACACACACACACACACACACACACATGGCCACACAGCCCCACTCTCTTTCTCTCTAAGGCTACTTCTCTGGCCGAGGATGTCTTTTCAGTTCTTCCTCCCTGGCACCCTCACACCTTCCTCTTCTCCCTCTTGCTTCCCTCCTCTGTCTCAAACTGCATCTGACTCACTTGTGAGGAAGGAATCCAGCTGGCACACTGTGCTCCAGTCTGCTACGTGTGAAAAACGGAGGCTATGTGCAATAGCCATGGTAAGCGCATTTAAAAAAAAAAAAAAAAAAAACTGAGCTATTTCATTAGCCGCTGAGCTAATGATGAATAAAATCGTCTTGTCTTCCAGCATATTAGCTATGCTTACATGATCATTTTCTGGAGTTTTCCTTTTAGCTTCCGTAATGCCCCCCCGTTGCTTTCTCTCTCCTTCTGTTTTTCTTTTACAATGGACAGCAGATTGAGTTTGCTTTGTAATCACACCAGCCCCAGGTTAATCAATTGGGGTAGGGGGTGGAGGGGTGGGGGTGGTTGTTAATATGAGTGAAAAGCTTCTGGATAGGTGGGTCTTTTTCTTCTTTTACGGTGCCTTCGGCCATGTCGATTGATCTTCTGTTTGTGTCCAATCAATGGCGCTTGGATGTTTGTTACAGTCAGCAGTCTTTTAGGCCCCCACCCGAACCCCCCAATCCCACCCCTTCTTGGGTAGAAGGACCCCAACCTCCTACCCAGCAACACCTCACCCCCTCTGGAACTTAATAATCTGAGCAATAGTGATTCTTTGATTTCTTGTTCTCTTTTCTCTTCTCATAATCTTTTCACCCCATACTGCTCGGAATTGTTTGAAATGCTATTTCTGCAGCACAGAGGCTGAAATCATCAATCATCTTTTTTTCTTTAAGGGTATTTGAACTCTGGGACAAGCAAGAGTGGCCCAGAACACATAACTAATTTGTATCTTTCTTTTTTGTCACGACCAATATTTGTATATTAGACTAAAGCCCCAGAGCCTCCTTGGTTTCTCCTCTTGGCTCCTCTTTCTTGTCTTTCTTTCCCTGTAGCTTTTGCTTTTGTCTTAGCTTGTGGTCTTTTTGGCAGATAAACCCACAATCGTCTGAACTTGCAGCTCAGAAGATTTCTGTTTTAGCTTTGTCTTCTCATCCGTTTCCATCTTGTTTGACCTTCCTCATCTGTGCTGTCTTTCTGATTTTTTTTCTTTTTTTATATTTATCTCACCCTCTCCTCTACTTTGTTCTTGTGTCCTTCGGTGTCCCGGTCAGCTGTCCAGTCCAGTTCCCCTTCGTTGTGCCTCCTTGTTTTATTTTTTACATTTTTGTCTCCATTTTATGCTCAATTTTCTTCATATTTGATTCTCCTCTTTCTCTTTGTAGCAATTGGTCTTTCATTCTCTTCCTCTCTTTTTCATTTCTTGCACATCCTATCATTTCTGGGTCTCTTTTCTGCTGAAGGTCTGAGCTGAGCTTACCGCTGCAAGTTACTGTACGTTATTCTGACTGAGGTCTCTGCTCTCTCAGCAGTTTATTCCTGCCCCTCTCTCGTCATCTCTCACCTGTTCCACTGCTGACCTCTTCTCTTCTCTTTTAGAAACTAGTATTCCCAAGTCCAAGGAATTATACCAAACATATCCACATTTTTTATAGATGTACAACTTAATGACTATTTTTGTCCTTTTGTCCATTGAAAATTGACACAAAAAGAAAAATCTTCATGATCCAAGGTCTCTGTGTATGTCTTCAGGGCTGCAACTAAGAATTCTTTTCATTATTGATTAATCTGCTAATTATTTTCTCGTTTAAATTATTTGGTGTATAAAACATCAAAAAACAGCAGAAAGACTGGTAATGCCCGTGATTAATGTTATAGATCTGAAGGTGATGTCATTAAATGTCTAATTTTGTCCAACTAGCAGTCCAAAAGACAAAGATAGTTCATACTACATTACTGAATTAGTCTTTACATTCTGACCACTGAGTTGACTATAACATGCTCTATACATACGTACTGTACATGTATGGTGGTTATTCGTGCATATGGCTAGAGAATGGTCCAGAATGTGCAGGGTTTCATACATTTAGGTGCTTTTATGCAAATCTAAACAACTTACATACATTTGCTCTTTTCACTCGTCTGAATGACTCCTTTTCCTGAAGTATTTAAGTGTGTGAGAAAAAAAGTATTGTAAGTATTGTAGAAATTTACATGCATGGTGTTTACTGTAAGGCTATTGTTTGTACCAAGGGCAATTTTGCTTTGCAGTGCTGCTGTGTTGTGCAGCCAAAGAGAGTGGAGGGGGGACTGAGGGGAGCTCTGTGATTATGGCTATGACTCATATGGTGCCTGTCACCTAGAATCAACATCCAACTTCACACGATCTGCCGTCCTCACTCAGGCCCTTCTGAGAGGGAGAGATTGAAGAGGGAGAGGGAGAAATGTGGCGGAAGGAGGGACAGAAGTAGAGGCACTGAAAGAGGTGAGGGCAGGAGGTGGCTCGATATCCTCGCTAATGCTTCGATAAGAAAAGGGAGAGGTGAGGAGAGGAGGGGGAGGCAGGAGAGGAAGGGACTAATGACAGGGAGATTTAGAGGATAGACAGAGGGAAGCGAGAGGAGGACAGAGAGAGGTAGTGAAAGGAGATGGGTGAAAGAAATAGATGCCCTGCTGAGGGTGGAAAAGTGGAAGAAGAAAGTGAAAAGAATCAGAGAGACGGAGACAAACATAGGGCAGAGAGAGAGAGAAGCTCACAAGATAAATGGCAGCAGCTCAACAATTTAACTGCTCATACCGTGTTGGAAACTCTAATCACATGAGAATGCTTCAGTACCCTCTGATTATATTACAAAAGAAAAAATTAAAGCATTGTATTCTGTGCACTAGCTCCCTCCTCTGGAAGCTCTCAGCCATGCATTTGTTTGCCGACAGTGCTATTATGTATTCATGAGGCTGTAGCCCTGTGTGTGAGCCTGGAGGAAGATGCTAGCTAATCAGTATGCTAATCTTAGCTTGGGAGAGCAAAGGAATGAAGCCACGGCTGTGGTCCTGCACTGCGAACGCGGAGAAGGAGGAAGAGAGAGAGAGAGAGAGAGAGAGATAGGGATAGATAGACTAACAGTAAGTGAAAGGGGGAGGAGGAGAAGGTGGAGGAAGTGATTGAGGAAAAGAAGAGAGGTCATGTATAATACCTTTCTTATATCAAAATTCAAAAATATAGTGTTGGCTGTTTCATTCCAGCCTTCAGTATAACCCTGTACACAGACAGATGTAAGCACTCAAGGGCAAACACATACATTAGAGATATAATAGAGATATTAATGAACATAACATTAAAGCAGGCGCACACACACACACACACACACACACACACACACACACACATACATACAAGCAAGCATAATTGTATCAAAGCAGTTACTCTGGGTTATACGGAAAAATGCAAACACCCATGACCTACTTGCACATACATGGACGTCACCCTGCAAGGATTTTGAGAATGCAGAAAGGTCGGACACGTGCACGAACACACATTCCAATGCTGTCGGGGACAACAGCTCTCTGCTGCCGCTAAAAGCCAGTCCCATCAGATTTGTCTCTCAGCGTGGTCTCCTGTGTTTCCTCCTGCTTGTTTGTTTATGACTTGCTGCTGAATCGATGGATTGTTGACTGTTACTGGGAACTGCAGCTTGGGGGCATCCATGGAGAAAAGAGGCAGGCACCTCACCTCAAGAGCTCAAAACACATAATCACACATAGGTGGGGATATGACAGGGCTTGTATGTGTTCACATGACACACACACACACACACACACACACACACACACACAAAATGTCTGTCGTAGGTCGTCTGATTCACAAGCTGAGAAAATGGGACTGGGCTGACCCCGAAAAATGCATGGACTTGTGGGTTAGCGCGTGGACATATTTGAATATCTTATCTTATTTTCAGCATAGCCTCGAGCCTCTTCCTCTGCAGGGAGGGAGACGGAGAGAGGAGCCACAGTCAGGAAGCTGCAGAAAGGGCTGCCGATGGCTTGGGGACGTAGATTCATAAAGGGAGTCAACCTGTTGAGTTTTTCCACAGAGAAAGCAAAGAGCCACATTATGGACCCCCGGAAATGGGGCCAGAGACCGCATACATATTTGAACAGCTTTTTAGAAGGCAGCTTTGCAAAATTTAAAGACCATGATGAGTGTCATTTGAAAAGGGGGGGGGTTGCTTTTACCACATAATGAGTGTGCCACAAATGGAAAGCGTCAAATTTTGTAAGGCAAGGAAAGAATATTAAGAATTTTGCGAC